TAATAGATAAATGCCTTGTAATTTCAAAGATTGAGTAGTAAGTTATAAAGTTTTCTAAGTGTAAATAACTTGTCAATACTCTAAGTAAATAAAATATTTCTTGACTTCCAAACAACTCCATTTCCATAATATGTGCCTCTGCAATAATCTCAAAGTTTAGATCTTAGGGAAATAATTTAAATACGCCAGTTTGCTTTAGGCGCGATTAATAAATCATCGTGACCATGGGTACGGTTCCCATGGCATGGTCACGATACATGAATCCCAACTCAAGTGCGCGTTTTACGCGACTTGACCGTAACTTCAAATGATAATAAAAATAAGCATGTCGTCAATCGCGGGTGCATTTCATGTGGCGCGGTTTGCGACCTGTGCCAAAACGACAAGTGTACGACATCGTGACTTGTTCCAGAAATAATTCCATAAATAATTAAAAGCGTTTTAGAAGATAAAAATGCACACTAGGTTTTAAAACATGTATTAAATCAGATAATTAGGCCAATTATTAATAGTTGAGCGACCGTGCTAAAACCACGAAACTCAGAGGTGCCTCACACCTTCTCCCGGGTTAACAGAATTCCTTACCCGGTCTTCTGTGTTCGCAGACCATAAATAGAGTCAAATTTCCTCGATTTGGGATTTAAAACAAACCGGTGACTTGGGACACCATAACTTTTTCCAAGTGGCGACTCTGATCAAATAAATAATTCCATTTCGAATATTTTCACTTTAATTGGAAAAACTCCCCTATCCCCTATCCTTTCGGAAAAAAGGAGGTGTGACAATAAGCTTGCCCGTAGTGTATAATTCCACTAATCTAAGCTCGCAAAGTCTATGATCAATTAGGTCTTTAAGGGTTGTAATGTAGGTTAAGGGACGGGTAGGATATATTTTGGGTATAGTGACTAGCCCTCCTAAGCACTTTAATACACTATAATATACATTTTCATGACCAATTCAATCAATGCCACGAAACCATATACAACTTGGCGCTTCTTCTTTAAGCACAACTATGCATTCACTAGCCCGAATCACGATGAATATGAGGTATATTTTCTTCAACACTCTCTATAAATTTAGGTTGCCCAGCTAATGATCTTCCAAAACATACATGCACCTTTGGTCTTTCTATGGTTCCACTCAAAAGCTACCCCAACTCTCACCTTATTCTTCTAGCGAAAGTGCTTTCGGAGGTAAAGATTCGAAAAGATTTAATTAAGAATAAAATGGGAATCGACTTGTAATGTGGGTGCCAAATAAAAGGCTTATAGGCTCAAATGGGCTATCTATAGATCATTTTATATATGGTGGCTATTGTTCAATAGACAATCAAAGAAACACCTACATCATCTCTTAGACTCACAAAGCTTACTTATTTCGCTTCGACTAACACACAGGGCAAGTTCTAGACAAATACAGGATAACACATAATGTAATCAAAACCTCACATCACACATTGCACATGACCCCAGTCAGACGGTTCCATTCCAACTCTCAAGTTTAGAAAAGTTACACAAAGTCAAGAAGTATTAAACAATAAAGCACTACATGAACAATGAGTCAAGTAACTGAGAGAAGGCGTCACATACAGTCGATTCAATCTTTAACGGCATATCTTTCATTAAAACATGTTAGGAAGATAATTTGCATGCTATGGCCTAACAATGCTAGCATCAACAGGTCAAAAGACATATAGAACACTCAAGTTTTCTTACCTCGGTTTCCTAAAAATAAAAATTATCCGGTTCAAGTTACATCCCCTGAAAAAGAATCGATACCAAAAAAATAATCAAGGGGGATTATTATCTACTTACGACTAACTAAAAATTAAAAAATAATAAAAACAAAATATTTTTGGAATTTTTTATTGAACCTTAATCCCTCAAGAAAGTTGTCCAAGAGATCCATCATCAGGAAAAGTCCAATTATTTTTTATTTTTTTTAGTCAAACTAACACAACTAAAATATCATAGAAAATCACCCAAACAATCTCTTCACCTCACACTTAAAATTGTGCATTGTCCCCAATGCAAACCATAAACAAAAATTAAATACTAAAAAAAAAAGTTCAAACTTGAAACCTACCAATATGTACAACTACAACTACACCATTAGCTCTCCGGCAACAACGCTAAAATTTGATCACACCCAACTATGCCTTATAAAAAGGACTAAGCGGTCGTTGCAAATATAATCTGATTTACAAGTCTGGAGTCGAATCCCACAGAGAACTGAGACTTAACTATTGTTGTTTAATATTGCTAAGAAACACAAGTCCAAATAATTTCTTAATTATAAAGATTATAATATTTATTTCTAACTAATTAACTAACAACTATTATAAAGCAATAAAATTATCACTAACAAGGATGAAATTTGAGTCAAGACTAAGGAGGTCTGGAGTTATGATTTTCCCAATTGTCAGAATCCTTCCCGCTACGTTTTCTTCAATTTCGCCTAAGTATTCTCTACCGATCGTGAGTACTTCGGGTATTGTAATTCTCTTCCGAGAAACTACTACAATTTACTAGACATATTCTTCCGAATTACGCTAACTGACGCTAATTCACTGCTCACTAAGATCGCATCAAGGTTTCGTTATTCCTAATCCCACCTTTAAACCCTCCGTATTGATTCCTCACATACGTTAGGAGTGATGTTGTTCAACAACTACCTAAATACGTACCATTTTCCAAGCAATACATACTAAATAGGCACAGTCAACTGATGGCCATTCAGTCAATAATAATAAACACGTAGTTAAACAAGTAGAGAAATCCAATGGCTCAATTATATAAAACGCAACAAAAAAATCACCCTTCAAAAGGTTCCATCAAACCCTAGATGAGAAAGTTTAGCTACTCATAATTATATTAACAATCATGATAATAATTGAAAGCATTAAAATACAGATTGAGGAAGAACGGAAGAGAAAACTCTCGTGATTCGTTGCTTCCAAGTGTTCTCGTAGCCTTCTTGCTTATCCAATAATGTCTCCCCTCTAAGAAATAGGTTTAGAACCCCTTTTATATATGTTGGGGGCGTGTAGGGTTGGAACTACCAAGTCCTGGCCAAATTAGGACGAAATCCGCCCTTAGCCGTCTCGCTTGGCGCCTGACGCCAATCAGGACGCCTAATTTTCCACTATTCTGCCTTTGGCGTTTTGGTTGGTGCATGGCACCAACCTGGGCACCAAAATCATATTCCCTCCAAATTCTTCTGCTTTTACTTCACTTTGCATGCAAGCTTGCTAAATCACTTCAAATTGACTCCTACACATATAAACACCATTATTAAGCACGAGTCACAAATATTTATACCAAAATTAACAAGATTGAGGTATAATGTAAGGCAAATTACATGCGAAAACATGAATTTTTAGCCTAACATCAAAGTTATACCTACATTACACAAAATCTTACAAAGTGTACCTGCTCGGGTATGAAGTAGTTCAACCTCTTCAATGCAACTTCAGAAATCAAATCTGAAGTTTTTCTATATTTCAAATGCAACTTTAGAAATTTGAACATGAAGTAGTTCAATCTTTTCAATGGAAATTCAGAAATCAATTTTGAAGTTCTTCTATCTTTCAAATGTAACTTTAGAAATTCTAATCTTAAGTAGTTCAATCTATTGAATGCAACTTCAGATTTCGAATCTTAAGTACTGAAACATAAATTTGTTATTCGAATTAAATACATGATTCAATACCCAAATCTACTCCAAATTAGCTCAAATTTGAAACATAACTTTCAATATTATAAAGAACAAATCTTAATCATCAAATTGTCAAAATAACAACAAATTTAACAAACTCATTTTGCAACTAAGAAGCAGAAGAAGAAACTCTAAGCACAAAGAAGAAGAAAATAACATAAAGAAAAAGAGAAAAGTGTATGTATCTAAAACTATCCAAAAATTGGGTATCAGTTAAATTTTTTTGAAAAGTGGGTACAAATTCAATTGATCGTGCAAAATTGAGGGGCACATGAAAATTTTACAAAAGAGAATTATATATTTTTAATTGCTTCAAAAAATAATAGTCGATAAAATATATATTTTTTGAAGGGGAGCCTTGGAACAATGATAAAATTATCTTCACGTGACCTATAGGTTACGGATTCGAGCCGTGAAAATAACAACTAATTCTTGTATTTGGTTAAACTATCTATATCAAATTCCAAGCTTATATGAATGATAATACTTTGTACACAGAACTACTCTTTTATTAAAAATATATTTTATACATATATATTATATACAAATAATATATATATTTAATATACTTTTTGCTAGCAAACACGATTAATAATTTTCTATTTGGCCTTTAAAAAGCAACACTGGGTCGCTTTAAGAACACGTGAAATATCGAGCCCGTTGGCCCCACACTAAAGAAAGGCGAGGGTGAATTTGTCAATTGAGAATACCTCCGTAGCAGCGAAAATGATTACCACAAGTATATGATCACGATAATAGAAAAAAATATCTAATATCTAGTTTGACATAAAATTTAGATCATTAAAAATAAGTTTGTTATTTCTATTGTTATACTGTGTTAGTAATTGTGAGCTTAATACTAAAATATATTTTCAAACTTATTCTAACTTTCTCTCTATATTTTTTGTAAACAAGATGAAATGACGGTATAAGCTTAATCATGCTAATGTTTATATTCGAGCTATACCAAGTTATCATCATTAAATAAATTATATTAATTATAATTAAATAAAAATTCAATAATATAAACATATATTATGCTGCTATTAATTAGGTATAAATAAATTTTTACCATCAGGCTATACCCACTGATCTCATAAGCCTAATCCATTTGTACTTGGTAAAATCCATTAGAAAAGAAAACGTGTAACTTGCTAAAATAAGACAAATTTACATTGGACCGAAATGCCCTCGTTGTTGCTACCCGAGACCCACGTGTTAGACATTACCCCACCAAATCCACGGCAAATTTTCGCTTTACTCCACCTCAGCCCCAAAATTGCCATTTCATATCACCGAGTCATCCATCTTCCTCTCTCCTCTCTTTCTAAACATTCAAACCTAACTTTACCCAAACCAGAGGAAATGGTATCGGACTCGGAGCTCGTCGGCCGGCTGCGTGAGTTCCTAAGCACTTCCGACCTCACCACCACCACCACCACCGCCGTCCGACGAAAGCTCGAAGAGGACTTCGGTATCGATTTATCCGATAAAAAAGCCTTCATCCGAGAACAAGTTGATCTTTACCTTGAAAGCCAGTTTCAACTTGACCAGCAGAAAAATGAAGGAGAAATGCATGAAGAAGTTGATGAAGGACCGTCGGCGGAGGTGAGTGACGAAGAAGAAGATGCGGTGAATGAGGAGGTGGAAGAAGAAGAAGAAGAAGAAGAGGAAGAGGAATCTGAAGCTGTTACTAAAATAAAACGAAGAAGTTCTAAGAAAAAGTATGTGAAATTTTGATATATGTTCATTTGATGTTCAGGTGATTTTTTTTATGCCTTGTTCAAATGTTAAATGATACATTCCGTTGCTTCTATTATAAGACGACATTGTTACAATCATGCATGAGATATTTCATTTCCTTTTGCATTTCTTCTGTGAAAAAAAGATATACTACTAGGTAATAGCTTAGAATAGCTGTTAGACGTGTACACTGCCTAAATAATTAAGGGATGTTTTTGCTAATGATATATATTTCTATATTCTTTTTTAAAAAACAATGGTGTCCAGACCAATTGAGCGTACCTCACTAATTTACAGTGTACTTGCTACCTCCCACCTGCAGAAGTACCTGCCACTTGCTACTTCCCACCAACAGAAGTACCGCTTCCACTAAGGTTTAGACAGATGTGAAGAAATAATCTAGTGTTTTCTTCCACTGAAATTTGGATACATATCTAGAAATAGCACTTCAACAGTGCTGTTTTTAATAAAAGATATATTACGTTTCTGAAAAAGAAAAAAAAGATAGTACCCCGGGCTTCCTTTTTTGGTTGTTTTGGTTGTTCACATCAGCTCTGCCTATGTGAGTCTTGTATAGCTGGTTACATGCACAGATAAAGGAGAAAGATTGCATTTTACTCTTATCGGAAATAGCCTCTCTACCTTCCCAAGGTAGGGGTAATGTGTGCGTGCACTCTACCCTCCCCAGACCCCACTGTGTGGCATTACACTGGTTTTTTTTTTTTTTTTTTTCAAGAAAAAAAAAATAGGTAAAGGAGAAAGATTGCAGCAAGTTGCCATCATGTGTAAAGATAGTTATAATACATGAATTCTTAAAATTATTCTTGTCCTCTAAACATTAAATGTGAAGTTGGCCCACGTAGAGCTGAACGGATACAGAGAATTTATATACTTGACCTATTGGTCTGGGATTGAGGCTTAGTTGATCTATTGATTGATTTTTGTATTCGTCTATGTTTTCTTTGGATGATTTTCAGTTTACTGGTGCCCGTATTTTGTCTTATGTTGGGCTGTTGAACCATTACTATGGTTCTTTTGGTATATTTTCTGCCTGATGGTGTCAATAGGCTCATGGACCACAAATTGCAATGAGTTCTTGAAAGGATGAAAAGATTCCAGGGTTGGTAGGGAGGTGGCCAGTTGGGGGGGAGGGGTTTAGAAAGTCGATATCTTGTGATTATCTGCTGCTGTCTCCTTTGGTTACAAATAGTTCTTGTTGTTGTCAAGGTTGTAGTCTTTGCTCAATTTGTCATCCTTATGTTTCTGTCACTTCCTGTTCTATTAACCAAATATGTTACAGTAGTTAGATTGTGTTATGATTTGCTTGAGGTGGTTTAAACATTTCACCGCTATTATTGATATATCGGCATTGCCTTTCAACTCATTCATTGTGTTCATTGTTTAATTGGATGTCTGAACTATGACCCCCATTTGCTATTGGGATTGTCAAAGTGAAGGGCACTTTTCCAGAGTGTAAAATAATACTAATTGGTGTTGGGCCAGGATATTAATGTTATTTAAAAAAAAAATTTAAAAGTAAACATAGTAGTTCAGGATTCATTGGCCTGAAAGATTATTGCTTGTTCCTCCTCTTGTTTGCAGAGGCATTAGCTGCTTTTGCTATCATTCTTTCTCATGACTGCTACAGATATACTGCCAGAAACCAGCATAAGAATCTCCCGAAGAAGTTGTGCAAACTATAGCCAATCCATGCATGTGTTAATTGAAGAATGTACAAAATGAATGAACTAGAGAAATTTACTTGGTTTGTAATAGGCGAAGAGAAAATAAGATCAATTCCTCATATTAAGAGAGAAAGTAGATGCAAACCAAAAATTTAAGGAAAAAGAAGGGAATAGGGAGGAAAGGAATACATAAGAATTACTATCATGCTCATTGTTTCCATTCTATTTCCTTTCATCTATGATCCACCCAATTGACCCCTCAGGCAAAGTGCAAAAGAAGACGAATAGCAGTCTTAAATAAATTCTAAAGTTTGACATCTTACGAAACAGTTAGGAAGATCTAAAGTAGACACCGAATATAATAGTGACCAAAATCTTGCTTCTTCCTTCCAAATAGTCACAATCAGAAAGCTTAGGTAGATTGTATGGTCGGAACCTCCCTTTTATGACCTATGGCTTTATATTTCCTTTTCATGACTTGATAGTTTATCTTGGTGGAACTTCAGTTAGTTTTGCTGAGAGAATGCTCTCTCCTCTCCGGGAGAAGTCACTGCTATATAGCAGGGTATTGATCATGTGTGTGCATGTGATAGTTTACTTTGGTGGTTGTGTGATTTCTTCTCTCATGTTCGGATCTGCATTATACGGTCGTATTAAGTTTAGATGATATTTAAACTAATGAAAGAAAGTTTCTTATCAATAGAGAAAATTGCTAATAACAAAAGGTTGAGGTGGGTTCATCGCTCTTTTCGTTATGCACAGATCATGTCCTTGTTCTTCAGTACAACATTACCGATATCTGACAATTCTCACGTATCAAACACCCCGAACTTGCGAACTTTTAATGTTTGCAGCAAACAATAATTACCATTAAATTTCATCAGCTATGAATCTCATGATGACCCGGAGAGAAAATATGAGTATCTGAATGATTGTGTTTGAAAAAAGTTAATTGCTTAAGTCTTAACTTATTGGGATCTCTTTATTTTAGTCTAGACAATACTGGTTGAACTAATGGTACACTAAATCCTATTAGGTCTGAGAAGAAAAATGAAAATGTCAAAAGGAAAGCTGGTGGATTTACCAAAGTATGTAGCCTTTCTCCACAACTTCAGAAATTTACCGGGGAAGCAGAACTTGCAAGGACTGAGGTATCACAAATTTGCATGCTTCTGTCTTCTTTTAAAGCCTCCATTGACATTGATATTATTGTGCATGAACTAAATCCTCACAAATGTTCTATGTAGGTGGTGAAGAGGATGTGGAACTATATTCGTGAAAATGATTTGCAAGAGCCATCAAATAGGCGGAATATAAACTGTGATGACACATTACGGGAGCTTTTTGGTGTGGATAAAATAGACATGTTTCAAATGAACAAGGCCCTGGCAAAACATATCTGGCCCTTGGATTCTGATGGTGGTATGGAGGCACTTCTCTTCATTCTTTCTTTTTTCCTTTGTTTTTTCTTTTTTTCCCTTGGTTTGCTGAATACTCTGTGGTAAACTTTTCTATGACACTTAATTCTTCCCATTTGGCAAATATTGTACATAAATCGGTTTTGTGTTGCTTCTTGCTAAATAATGCTGTAACTAACTTATCTTCAGTTCTTATAAAGTCTTGCTGCAACTGTTCTCAGATTAATTGCTTAGTTTCTGGAGAGGCTGCAATTCTAGATTTGTGTTTGTATGCTGTTGACTTATTAACGTTCTGCCATGTAATAGTGTATCGTGCTTTATGACCATGTAGAAATCAGACACTTTCAAGACTGTATTCTGATCCTTAACTATTGGAAGTAAGGTGGGTTTCTACAAGTTCCTGAAAAAGTACATTCTGTACTAGTTTCATGTCATATTGTGGCCACCTTATTTCTCCATAACCTTGTTCTCTTCATTTATCATTCTGTGCAATTATGAACCTTTTCCCTTTCCCTGTGTTGCAGCCCAAGGCTAGCTTGTAGTCAATAATAATATATGAGGAAACAGTAATCTTATGAACGCAATATTAGCTGGGATGAAGAATGATAGAATGTTTCCTCTTGTAGGATGTTTTGTCTTAATTCCAACTTGTGGTCTGCATGTACATCAATAATACTATTTGAGTAAACATTAATCTTATGTATGTAATATTAGCTGATGTTGCAGCTTGTTAGTTTTGGCCTTTGGGTTTAACAACTAAAATCCTGTTGAATGATTAATTCTTGGCATGTTTAAAGTCTTGCATTTCTAATTTTCCACTTGTCATCTCTATGTGACTATGAATCAGTTTCCACAATAACAACTTCTGGTTCGGTAAATTCTACTGCGAAGGAAAAAAGTTCTACAGCAAAGAAAAAGCGGCGGAAGCAAGAGGAGGATGAAGGTAATAACTTAGCTTCAGCTACTATTCAGACAAAATTTCCCAGCTGCGAAAGTTGTTTATGCTTACTGTCCTTATGCCAAAAAACTTGCTGTAATCTCTTAGACGGCCGTGGTAGTATTTATCCATGCTACTTTATTACAATTCATGATTTATATTTAAAAATACGGAAAAGGGCCAAAAATGTCCTTAAACTATTTGAAATAACTCCAAAATACCCTCCGTTTATTTTTGGTACCAAAAATATCCCTGCCGTCTATGTTTTGGACCACAAATGCCCTTTAAACCGTTAGTCTTGCCATTGAAGCTGACATGGCAGTCCAACTGGGTTAGATTTGCTTACATGGCCATCCACCCAAGCAATCCAGCATGGCAAAATTATTTTTTCGGAAATTTTTATTAAAATACAAATCAACACTTATTCCGAAAATAGTAAAAAAATTTCGGAAAAATTATTTATTTCGGATTTTTTTTATTAAAATACAAAATCAACACTTATTTCGAAAAAAGTAAAAAAATTTGAAAAATTATTCTTGATTGGGGTTTATGATTTGATTAAAAAATTCCATTGTTCTCTTTTGTGAATTTATAATTAGTTTGATCTAAATTTTTAAATGCTTATCTGATATAGCTTCATAAAAGGTACACCTCTACTGTAAGTCTCAATTGGTTCATCCGAAGTTCTTATAATTTTTGGAGTTTTCAAGTTTTCAAAAATTCCGAAATTCAACTTCAAGTGAAATTTAAAATTTTCATGGTCAAACACTTATTTCGAAAAAATGAAAAAATTTCCGGAACAATATAATAAAGCACGTTCCAAAATAATTTATTTTGTATATTATATATATTATTTTAAGAAATAAATAATTTTTTCGAATTTTTTTTTACTTTTTTCGGAATAAGTGTTGATTTTGTATTTTAATAAAAATTTTCGGAAAAATAATTTTTCCGAAAAAATAATTTTGCCATGCTGGATTGCTTAGGTGTATGGCCATGTAAGCAAATCTAACCCAATTGGACTGCCATGTCAGCTTCAATGGCAAGACTAACAGTTTAAGGGCATTTGTGGTCCAAAACATAGACGGCAGGGATATTTTTGGTACCAATAACAAACGGAGGGTATTTTTGAGCTATTTCAAATAGTTCAAGGATATTTTTGGCCCTTTTCCGTTAAAAATATTAAAGGGTTGTTGTCTGTTCTACATTGTTTTTGTTGCTAATAAATTTTGATTCATACATAATTCTATTTTTGTCCATACGCCATGCACAATTTGTTAATAATATATTTGATCCCTCGTATATTTGATAATAGATTCAGATGAGCCAAAGAGAAAGGAAAAGCGGCACAACTCTGGAATTCTTGCTCCACTCCAGCTTTCTGATGCCTTAATAAAGTTCCTCGGTACAGGAGAGAGTGAACTGCCACGAGGCAATGTGGTTAAAAGAATTTGGGATTACATTAAGCAAAATAACTTGCAGGTAGACATTAATTTGTGGTATCTGTTCTAATTTCTCTCCGGCTGAATTAACCTTAACATATTCTTTTTCTTTTTATTCCTGAATTTTAAAACTAGCTTTAAGGTCAATATAGTGTGTGTTTAATATTGCGACTTTAGCTAGGTCTTTCTCTATATGGCTTGCGGTAGGTGCTCAACTTTTTCTGCCCTTAGTCGTATTCACTGTTGCTGGTAACAGATATATTCTTAAATGTTGCTTGATTTAGGCAGGTAAAGTTCTTTAATACTTTCATTTGCTAAACAAAATAGCTTTCTTGCAATACTTAGTGACAGGTTCTAAGCGCATGAAGCCAGTATAGGCGTCTACCGTCATTACCTCGCAAGATCTGATTTTTTTTTCCGGGTAAAATAAAACTCTATTACCAAATTTGTATTGTATGTACAGAAAAAGTGACTACTGCTGGACAACAAGCCCCAGCAGCAATCTCGCAGACTTCAGAAACAAAACAATCTATAAGCTATTCAGATGTGTACCTATTTATACTGGATAGAAGTTGAGTTCCTCCAGCCATGCACTAAGCTTCTTCTTCATAGCCCCTCGACAGTGCACTTTTGAACAATCTGCTTGACAATAGATGTGGTGCTCTGTTTTGTTGCTTGGAACAGCCGTTGATTCCTCTCTCGCCATATATAATACACCACAGCTGTTAGTGTCATCCTATAAACTTCTGCATTAGAAGATTTTCCCCTAGCATGTCCCTCTGCCCAAAATACTTCGGCTTCCCAAGTCATAGGATCTCTACTAATGCCTTGCCACCCTAGCAACTTCTTCCAGACCTGCTTTGAGACTTTACAATAAAAAAATAAGCGTGATACACTTTCTTCTTCAGCCTCGCACAAAGGACAGAGTGGATTAATATTCATCCCCCACTTCACTAATCTATCCTTTGTATATAACTTTCCCAATATAGCCAGTCTAAGAATAAAAACCCATTTGGCCATGCCCTGATTATTGCATACCAGCTTCCTCCAAGTAATCTTAGGGAATTCTCCCATTAGTTTTTGATAAACCTGTTTTATAGAGAACCTCTGCATCCTCGTGATATCGAGTATATGATAACCAGCCTCATTGAAGTATTTCTTAGCATTCAGAATCTTCTGCACAACCCATGAAGCCTGTTTTGGTGTTGCTTCCATGAAATCCCCCCTTATCCCATAATAAACATGAATCCATTTCACCCATAGTTTATCTTTTTTGACACATAAGTTCCGCAACAGTTTGCTAACTGCTGCTTTATTCCAAGTAGCTATCCAAAGAAATCTTCTACATGTAGCTTCAACGAGTTTAAACATGAATCCCCCAGCAGAAAGATCCGATTTTAGAAAGCTATAAGTCAGTTCCAAGTAGTTCTGGAAGAGAACCATTCTCAAGAATTTAATTTTCTGTCAAATTGTTAAGAAAATGAATTGTCCAAAACCATATAAAAGACTACAATTCATACCTTCAACTCTCCTCCCTAGGTGCAGGACTGAAGATTTGGAACACGGATAACCCAACATCAGGTTGGGTCTGGATTCATCAACAAAAAATCCAGTGTAATCCCACAAGTGGAATCTGGGGGAGGGTAGTGCGTACGTAGATCTTAACCCCTACCACCCTAGAGAGGCTGTTTCCTATAGGCCCTAGGCCCAAGGAAAGATGAAAAAAGAAGCAGGGATGGATTTGGATTGATACTAAATTATGAAATGGACATTTGGTCAGCTCAACCCAAAAGCTAGCTTATGAAGGGAGGATTATCCAAGAGCATATAACAAAATTACAACCCATGCTGTCAACCAATGTTGGACTTTAACAAAAAATTGGAATCTTTTGAAGGACATCAAAGAATTGTCACTCAATCAGGTAATGTTTGTTTTCAGAGTTTGCTCCCTACGTATCTCCAACATATATATTTTTTATTATATTAGTAACGCGGTGTCAGAGTCGGCTTGCGTGCACGTCCGCTATTCCCCCCGAGTACCTGGTACCTCCTATCGATAGAGTTAGGTAACTCTGTCCACCAAGGCTTATGCAAATAGGAAGAAATCACCCAGTGTTATGTGTCTTCGCTGTGATTTGAACCCTGATCTCCAAGGTTTAATTGATCACTAGGCAACCCTCTTGGGTGCCTCCAACATATTTACTATGTTGGGTTCAACAATGCCAAGAGTAGCGAATATGCTTCTTCATTTCTGCACGAGTTTGGTTACTTTCCCGTCGTGCTTCCTGACCAACAAGGGAATTCTCCGTTACTCCTCTTTCAATTCCACTTTTGTTATCTCCTCCTATCAGTCTATCAAAAAATTTGTGTTATTTAATTGTATTGCCATTTTGGCATGTAGAGAAGTAGTGATTTCTTTTGATCTGCCTAAGGTTCTGTGTTGGTGGGAGGTAGCCGTCATCCGGTAAAATAGTCTAGTGTGCAAAATTTACAAAAATCAGAAACGACAAAGTCATGCATGCTCGCATGCCCTCTCTCACATTACTTTTTCTTATCATATTAACAGTGGTCTGTTTTTGCTTAAAAATGTCGTAAATTAATTAATTTAAGAATGTTGCTTGAGCATTGATCTAAAATGTATAAATAATTGCCTAGGTACATTCTTTATGTTTGGCTTACATTTTCTTTTGGTTCTTTCACCAACTTTAGTTATCAGAAGAGTAGATGAGGGTACTCTCTTCATGTGTTAAGCTCCTTCATTTAGACAGTGGAAGTATTTTATCCTGCCAGCTGACTTAATCAAACAATTTTTATTTTCTTTGGGTCAGTATATCATGAGAAGCAAGAGAGTCAATCCAGTAAGTGGAGGATTGCATCTCTTCTCATCCAGGGAACTTAACATTGCATCTAGAAGGAACTTTAGATGAACATGTAACGGGATGCAAATTTCTTATATACGAGGAAGGAACACTGACAGTTCGTTAGCACCTGACAACTTAAGCATTTAACATTTCCTTTTGAGTTCTCTTGAGAAAGATTCCAAACATATTTGGTTGAGGGACATCAGTTGCATTTCCAGATTCAATTCTATGAGATCGTCTGATTGATTGCCAGGTTTATTAAGCATTTAACATTTCCTTCTGAGTTTTCTTGAGAAGCCTCCAAACATGTTTGGTTGGGGGTCAGAAGTTGCATCTCCAGATTCAATTCTATGATTTATGTTATGGTCTGATTGCTAAGCATAAACTTAATGGAAGTTTGGAATTCGCTAAAGTTTTCTTTGTTTATCTTGAAGGATCCGTCTGACAAGAGGAAAATAATATGTGATGAGAAGTTGAAAGAACTATTTGATGTTGATACCTTCACGGGATTTGGAGTATCGAAACTACTTACTGCACATTTTATTAAGGCGGAACGGTGATATGGTTGGCTTCATTTTGCAAAAAGCTCAAGGGCTTCAGAATTTTGCTTTATGTTTGAAGCTAGATACTAGATACTAACATCTTTGTTGTCTTCTCTGTTGTATATGTTTTTGGACACTACTGTGAACGACTATAGGGGAAGCTAACATTATTTTAAGTTGATTCACGGGTCTTCTCCTATGACAACTTAAAAGGTCGCTTTGCTCAAACTGATTAACTGAGGCACTGTACTTCTGATGAAAAATGTGAATACTCATGTCCTTCCTCATGTACTTTTTTGTGCCTCTGTTTTGAGGATATATGCGGACATCTTGGGGAGAAGATTTGAATGATTGTCCAACAATGTTTAAAGGTTTTGGTTGGTTTTTTCTTTAGTCATCTCTAATACATTTTTTGATAGACGATACTAATTAGTTGCGATTAAAACTTAGTCATGTTGGTATGCTTAACTAGGAGTTATGTTTAATAGAAAATGTAGATAGTTTTCAGTGTTGGAGAACCTAAGTTATTATTGAGACATGTCTAAATGGAACGATATGGATAGTGAAGATTTAATAGTTGGTTTTGACTAGCTTGAGATTGAGGCATAGATATTTTTGTAGTCTGGATCCTGGTTCAAAATGGTTTAGCAGTGCAAGAAGCTAATGAGAGTATTCAGTTATCTTAGTAAATGGAAACCTACAGAATTTGATTCAACTGGCGTTCCAGATTGATTCCGTTTTCTTGAAGATTACCGATAGACATATTCAGGCTGATTTATACGAGTGGTCTGAAGTCCGTAGTGAAGTGGCTACCAGGTTTGAAGTTTCAAATTCAGAACTGGCATTCAGACCATGAGTCTAAAGTTGAAGAAATGATCAACTGCTAACTACAAGGTCACCAGAGTGGCCACATGATGTATATATATATATATATATATATATATATATATTCCTTCCACAGTTTGGCCTTTTTGTAACCCCAATCGAACTGTGATTTTAAATATTGATCAACCTCAATTTCTTTCAATCACATGGCTAATTAAGGTTGATCCTTATAAAAAATCACTCACATGGCCAATCAAGTAATTCTCTTTTATTTTTTGTAAAGATCTACTTTTTACCTTAAAATTAAATTATTTTTGAAGAAAAATTAACAATAGAACTTAGGGCCTAAAGCCTTTGCTTCACAGGTTTAGGTTTCACGTGGCACTGGGTTGTGAGGCTTCTGATGCAAATATTTAAGGGCAAGTGTATATATAGCCATTCTCAGGGACATTATTTAAATATTAGCCAGTACATATTTTGTCATGATATTTTAAACTAAAAATTTTAAGTTTAAAATAATTCAAGATATTTTTGTCCTAAAAAAATGAACTGAAAAATTAAAATCTGGCTAATTCCTAAATAGAAGTCCTTTGGAGTGGTTATCCGATGTCATTTCTACCATATTTAAAAGGTTAGAGAAAACATCTTTGTTTACTTTTCTTTTACAATAATAGAAAAAAACAGAAAATAAGCATGGAGTAAAGGATCGGAAATTCCTTATTCAAGTTTGACAGATGGTTGTGGGTAAAAGAGTGAAGCATAGATAAAGCTGTGGGAAAACGTGGGTTTTGCCAGAAAAGGTTAGACAGGATATAGAGCATCAAAATCTCAGATTGGGAGCATGAGAAAGTTTGAATGAATAATCAATTCATTCATCACTTACTCTCATAAGTCTATATAGGCTATTTGGGAATGTGGTGTGTGTACAGTGTACTGCTTCCTTACTTTTATTGGAAATGCTATGTCCTATTCTTTAATGAGATAATGGGAATCAGAATCATTGCCCAAAAAAGACCATTCACAGTTTTATCATGCAAACTTCCTCGTATCAAAATGTTTAGGAAAATATGTACCCCTGCAAAATTGCCCGTCTTCTGTCTTTGTCATGTTGAATGGGAACTAAGAGGTAAAAATACAGTATAATACATAATGACCTGAACACTGTTTCTTCTCACTATAACGATTTTTGCCCAATAGCTACATAAACACATATTACATTTTTACCTTGTTGATTGAGAATCCTATCAACGACATAAGACTTGACTTGGATTTTTTCTTTTTATATTTCTTTTCTCTTTTTTTTTTTTGGGTGATGTTATTTGGGCTAACCAATGCCCCAACAACATTTATGCACCTGATTAATAGCATATTCCAGCTGTATCTTGACTCATTTGTAGTGGTATTTATTGATGATATCATAGTGTACTCACGTAGCCAGGAGGAGCATGCACAACACTTGGCTATTGTATTGTAGAGGCTGAGAGAGGAGAAACTATATGCCAAATTCTCTAAGTGTGAGTTCTGGCTTAGTTCGGTGGCATTCTTGGGACACATAGTGTCAAGTGAAGGGATTAAGGTGGATCCGAAGAAAATAGAGGTAGTTCAGAGTTGGCACAAACCATATTCAGTTACTGAGATTCAGAGTTTTCTCGTCTTGGCCGGTTATTATCGTCGCTTCGTGGAGGGATTCTCGTATGTTGCATTGCCTATGACTAAATTGATCCAGAAAGGTGCTTCGTTCAGGATGTCGGATGAATGTGAAGAGAGCTTTCAGAAGCTCAAGAAAACTTTGACTACAACTCCAGTATTGGTGTTGCCTACAGGTTCAGGATCTTATACTGTGTATTGTGACGCGTTGCATATTGGTCTCGACGCAGTGCTTATGTAATACGGTAGGGTAATTGCCTATGCGTCCAGACAATTAAAGGTACATGAGAAGAATTATCCGGTCCACGACCTTGAGTTAGCAGCTATTGTTCATGCTTTGAAAATTTGGCGGCATTACTTGTACGGTATCCATTGTGAGGTTTATACCTTTCACCGGGGTCTACAACATCTGTTTAAACAAAAGGATCTTAATTTGCGGCAGCGGAGGTGGTTGGAGTTGCTTAAGGATTATGACATCACTATTCTCTATTATCCCGGAAAGGCCAATGTGGTGGCCGATGCCTTGAGTCGTAAGGCGGAGAGTTTGGGCAGCTTAGCATACTTACCAGTAGCAGAGAGGCCTTTAGCCTTGGATGTTCAGGCCTTGGCCAACCAGTTTGTTAGATTGGATGTTTCTGAGCCGAATCGAGTTTTGGCTTGTGTGATTTTTCGGTCTTCTTTATATGATCGCATCAGAGAGCGCCAGTATGATGATCCCCATCTGCTTGTCCTTAAGGACACAGTTTGACACGGTGATGTCAAGGAAGTCACTATTGGAGATGATGGTGTATTACGGATGCATGACAGGCTATGTGTGCATAATGTAGATGGTTTGCGTAAGTTGATTCTCCAGGAAGCTCACAATTTGCGGTACTCCATTCATCCAGGTGCCGCGAAAATGTATCAGGATTTGAGGCAGCACTATTGGTGGGGGTGAATGAAGAAAAATATAGTTGGGTTTGTAGCTCGGTGTTTAAATTGTCAACAGGTAAAGTTCGAGCATCAAAGACCGGGGGGATTTCTTCAGAGACTTGAAATTCCGGAGTGAAAATGGGTGCGTATTACCATGGACTTTCTAGTTGGGCTCCCATGGACTTTGAGGAAGTTTGATATTGTTTGGGTGATTGTGGATTGTTTTAGGTATTGATTTGGTTCAGGATGCTTTGAAGAAGGTTAAATTGATTCAGGAGCGGCTTCGCACGACGCAGTCTAGACAGAAGAGTTATGCCGACCGGAAGGTTCATGATGTTGCTTACATGATTGGGGAAAAGGTTCTGCTCAAGATTTCACCCATGAAAGGTGTGTTGAGGTTCAGAAAGAAGGGCAAGTTGTGCCCTCGATATATTGGGCCTTTTGAGATACTTAAGAAGATTGGAGAGATGGCTTATGAACTTGCCTTGCCACCTAGTCTATCAGATGTTCATCCAGTGTTCCATGCTCCGAAAGTATGTCGGGGATCCGTCTCATATTTTGGATTTCAGTACAGTGCAGCTGGACGGAAATTTGACTTATGATGTGGAGCCGGTGGCTATTTAGACCGGCAGTTTCGAAAGCTAAGGTCAAAGAGCATAGCATCAGTGAAGGTACATTGGAGAGGCTAGCCAGTCAGAGAAGCTACTTGGGAGATTGAGCAGGAGATACGGAGCAAATATCCACACCTATTAAGTCGATTTTGGTTAGATTCGGTTTGGCGGCGAAGTTTAGAGGAAAGGCCTCGGTTGAGCTTTGATTTGGTTGCGGAGCGAGGTAAGTGTTGGATCTAACCTTGATTTTAGGAAATTAGGAACCCTTGAGCTATATGTTATGTGAATTGCATGTGTAATTACTTATATGCGAGGTAACGAGTGTATATACGCCGTTAAAATAATATTTCCATGCTTTCTCGTATTTCATGAATTCTCTTATTCTATGCATTAACTGTTACATGCTTTAATTGCTTTCTATGCCGTAATTTGCTACTTGTCATTTGTTATCCTTGTATTGAATTATTCGTCCCTTCCATGACTTCGTGGTTAATTGTCTTACTTGCACACCTTAATTGTCGCGTACTTGACTTGTCTTGTTTCTTTTGTATTATTTGTAGCAATCACTTGATTAGTACGTGGTTCCTTTATTGCTTTATAGATCGGGTTGCACATCACAACGGTTGTGATATGGTGGAATAAGGGAGGATTTTGATATTGATTATAATGATATGGTGAGATCGGGTTGTGCGCCGCAATGGTTATGTATGTAATACTTGTTATTGATAAATTATTACATGGTGAAATAAGGGAGAATTATGATATTGATTCTAATGATATGGTAGGATCAAGTTGTGCGCTGGAACGAATTTTTATATGTGATTCTTGATATTTATAAGTGATGTAATGGTGGAATAAGGGATGATTATGTGTTTTCAGTGGGATCGAATTGCGCGCCGCAATGTGTTGTGTATATTGTATTCGTTGTTGTTACTGTTTTGATTTCCAGCTTTGTAATATGAATTTATGAGTTCAGTTATTCTG